ACACCTGTACCTAGGAATTACACTCTCTTCTACTTCGCGTCCTCCTGAATCCCTGAACCCTGGCCCTGAACCCCCGAACCCCTCGAGCTTTGTACCACTCGCTTCGGTTGTACTCCCATTCCTGAACCTCGCTTCCAGACTCCTGCCAGTTACTATCCCCTGTGTGCCTTGGGCTACTCGACCCTCAGACCCTGCCCGTTACACAGGTGTATTGGTAAACACCTCGCAGGAACCAATGTGCATATAGAAAATTTCTACTAGAGTGCGCTGACACCTTAAGCTCTTCGAGGACACGGTAATGGTACCAGGGCAACCCTTACGGAGAAAGGGTATACTAGTATTGGTCAGGGTAACCTGATGGGAGAGTTTTTGGTATAAGTCTGACTACTTGAAGATTATACGAGAACTCTCCTACCCCGACACAATCAACATCCTCTCGAGAGACTTTAATTGAGACAAGCCAGAGCTTAATGATATTAAGTTTTACCATTACTTTTATTTTTTACAATTTTGCACGAGCTTTTGTTCGAGAGATTTGAAGTTTGGTGTGGTCGCATCCTTGGGATCCATCTTCCTAAGGGAGCCCCTGTTACAGTGGCCCTGACAGCAGACACATTCGTTCACTGACACCTGTAAAGGCACTTGGGGGTTTCCTAATCTATTCTTTCCTTTGTCGCGATGATGCTGAAGGGTTTTCTTCCCTCTCATGCCTTCCCTGTAAAGGACAATTGTTCCTGTATGGGGTGGGATGTGTGGTTAGGCCCATACCAGAGGGTCTTGGGGGGGTCATTTTGGTCCCTGGGGCGTGGTGGAATGCGTTTAGAATTAAGGTTTCATTTTTGCCATAGCTAGCGCTCCATGCAGGTTCTTGTACCTTAACAAAGAATATAGGAGATAAACAAAAAAAAACAAAAAAAACATTCCTAGCATTAAAGTCTATCATCAGTGACCAGAGAAGAGATCTTACCAATATATTCATTCTACTTTACTTCTATCTTATACAAGCCTTCTTGACTATCTCCGAGACAGAAGATTACAGGGCCTAGTGTATACTCGCTTGACTTTAGAGTTACATACTCCCTAACAGATGGCATCTAGTTTTGTTTAGAGTTGTTAGCATGATTCTCTGCCGGTAGAGGGATTGCAGGGCCTGAAGTATCCATTGGTAGAGGTGGAGGTGGCGCAGGTGGTAGTGGGGGAGGAGTAGGAGGTATTGGAGAGAGTGGAGGAGTAGGGGAAGGAGGAGCAGAAAGGGGAGTAGGTTGCTCATCCTGTACTTGCTCGTGTTCTTCTTCAGATTCTTTGAATTCTTTATTGTGAAGTGGAGATTAGTTTCCGGCAAATTCACCAAAAGCTGACATAAAAAATAGCTTATTAACTTAGGTTAATAATGTTAACCTATGTTAAGAATTCTCAATCTCAGTTATTAACTATCACCCCCCTGAACTACTACTCGCTTGCCAGAAAGTATGCCTTGCAGCACTGCTGTGGTTCAACGGAGTAGTAGGAAGGGTGATGGAAGACCGTGCCCATGCAAGCAAGACCTGTGCAAGCGGAACCTGAGGGGAGAGGAGGACCGGTAGGATTCTGAGTAGTCAGTTCTGCTTTCAAGCAAGAAAATGCCAAGTTTCGCCCAGAGATTTTCGTGCCAAGGAATGTTTCGTTTCGAAGGATGTTTCGAGAAATGTTTTGGTTAGGAATTTTGTTTCGAAGTGGAAATATTTCGCATCGGGTAAAATGTTTTGTCAGCTGTTGATGGATAACGTGTGAGTGTAAGTTGTATAGTTATAGAGGCACCGGGCTCATAACCTGTTCAAATGTGTATGGTACAGCACTATCTTAATAACTTTGTACGAAAATATGACATAGTAGAGAGAGTATACTATGGACACGTTAAGCGAGGCCGAGTTTGGTATGAAGGTAGATTGGTAGTAGTTCTTGTTCTTAATTCTCTTAAGTGAGATGGGTGGTAACCCCTCTTTATACAGGTGTGTATCCTTCTCGTAATAAATAGGAAATATAAGGGAAAACAAAGTATCGACGTGTTTGACCGTAATATAAGTAGGAAAAACATAAGTGTGAACATGTTTGACCCTGAAGAACTGCCAAGGAAATCCTATAAAATATGCGTAAATCTAAGATGGTGTGAACGGATAAGTGAAATATAATCAACCCAAACACCAGATAAGAAAAGCACGCCATAATCCCCTAATTGTATCATGAAATATCAAATGAAATATACATAATACATACTCCTGCTGTAGTAATGTCTATGTATAGAAATAATACTAAGTAGAGGAATATACGATATTATCAAGGAGAATATACATATGAAACGAATTAGGAAATTCAACACTCTCTACCCTATTACGGCCACGGGGCACTGCCAAACTCCCCCCCTCCCCACCCCACCCCCCGTCCGGGGGCTACCGGGTGACCCCAATTGTGCCCCCAGCCATATAGTGTGGTGGAAGCAGTAGCGGGGCCCCGTACAGGGGGTGGCCAGGGCGGGGAGGCTGTATCGGGCCGGGGGGGAATGGAGGAGAAAATTGGCCCTGCCCGGGGCCAAACGCCTGGGCAGGGACCCGCAGTTTTCGGGGCCTCGGAGGCCCCATAATGAACTCTAGCCATTTCCAGATTATCCGTTCCAGGAGGGCCCTCCTGCAGATTACCATACACAATCGGGGTGTCATCTAGAAGATATATATGTAATTAGCCTTGAATACGGTGTTTCGCAATTCTGTGGTGAACATACCACTCTGGTTGGGGTTCCTGTCAGGTAATGAATGGGGGGGTACTGTTCTGGGGATGAATATTGAAGAAGGGGAGCAGCGGAAACAAGCATAGGCTCGGGACTGAATAAAAAAGTTTTTCTGAAGAAAGAATATGTTTGGTAACTCAATTCAACTCTAGCACATTAGAGGGAAGCAACATTAAGAACGTTTGGCCTTGTTATGAAGGAAGACAGCTATCGTCCGACTATGGATATTGAGGAGGAACGGGCGTGGGGGGAGGGGGGGTGGGGGACTCGGGCGGGGAATCGGGGAGTTTTAGTGGGAAGGTGAGCGAGAGGGGGTCAGATCTTTCCGTCTTCCAAGATGAGTAAGCCATTGATAGTGCACCCAGCTGGAGTGGAAACTTGCTCTCTGATGATTGCCGGATGCTGGTCAGCCAAAACCATTCTACTGGTACCTCTCGTGGCTACAATAAACCCCCACACGTCCAACCACATCGACATATGACAAGCGAACAAACGGGGAAACAAAACCGCAAAATCTGACCCTGAGCAGCCAACATCGCTGCCTCCGCCCTCTGAAATTACTTCATGACCCCCCCCGATCAGCCATGGCCTCGATGATAGGAGCATGGGAAGTGGGACTGGATCCACGCGCCTGGCGGTGCAAACATCTACATGATCCTAACCGAGCACCATCGAGGGACCAATCTGGGAGAATATCCAGGAAACTAGAGCCTTCTCCTCTGGGGAAATACCATTCGCGGCAGAAATGATGGTCATGATTTCCCGAATCTATCCAGATCAATACCCGGCCCCTCCCAGAAAAAATCAAAAACAAACACCCCCCGAAAGTGTAATAAGTGACAATCGTATCTTTGAAGCCGCATTTGGCATCGCACATGCCCTCCTCACCCAATATCTCAGCATCCATCTGCAGCTTCCAGCCCAGAGTGCCCAGGTCCGGGAGGCGCACGCCCTCAACGTTGCTGCCCGTGAGACCTCAACGGACATGCCGGTGTGATGGAGTCCGGCGTTCATTCGGGACTCATAAATCGTATGAAAGCGGTGTGGGCACTGTGCCTACAGGCCAAGATATATATATTGCCATTATGAAGACCTCTGTGTTTTGATGGATTGTCACACATACTATTTTTATTCCCACGGGCACTCTCATCGTGATGGTCGAAAACAGTGGCTAGTGAACCATCTCCATAAACGACGATAGCTCCATAACGAGAACACCAGCAATCACGATCAACATGCCGGTTCCTTCTTGCACTTTCAGCCTCTCAGTCCCTACTTCCACAGAAAAACAACGGGGTAAGATAGGAATCCGGATGTGATGAAATTTCTATTGTGTTGCAGGAGAACACCCAAAAGAGTTAGAAATTATTGCCTCTGCGAAAGGGAAGTGTGAGTATATAGGGTAAGTGATTAAATGATGGTATATTTACTTGTATGTAGGTGGAGAAAAGAGGGTGACAAAGTAAATTAATAGATATTGATACTGACTAGTGAAGAAACGCATAATTAGAGAATATGGGGAAATACAGGGCCTCCCCCCGCAGAGAGTGCCGGTGAAAGAAAATAAAAGAGAGATGGAAGAGAAATGGTAACAGGGTGGAACGTTAGAAATCCTGCACAATCCCGAACATTAAACAATTTTAACACTAGCCTAGCAGCCCAGATTTATGTCTACTACTGATTCATCACATCTATAATACCCCGTATTTGCAATCGCTAAACCTATATATACCCAGCACGTGGGAGAATTTTTCAAAGGCGGGAGGATCGTGGGGGAAGCGACGACAGACTAGGCACAATACAAGAATGTCTCAACTAGGGGAGGGAAAATAAAAACCGTTCGTAATGGGTAGGATAGATGTACATTACAGGAAAAGAAAAGTTCATGGGCAAACGAGGAAGTGTGAAAAGGGAAATTAGCGGAGGGTGGGTCGGAAATGATAAGAAAATGTATCCATGGGCGGCTTTCGCATGTATAATACCTTAGTTGCAGAGCCAGAAGCAACCTGCCCACACCGGAAGGGGTAGCTTCTAGGCAGAGGTTGGGGACTCGGTGGGGAATGAGTAGCGGCGCAGGTGGGAAGGGGTGAGGGGTTATTGCTTAATATGGGCCTGCGGGGGCGTTGGGGGGGAATAACTGATTAACTTAGAGGCAGAGGGTGCATCGGGAATGTATGTAAAGGAGTGCTGCCGGGGATATCAAAGGCTGCGGACCCTTTTAAGGGGGTTCCGGGCGGCTCAGACGACCCAGTTATGAGAGGATCAATCGAGGACCCACTGGGTGCAGAATTAGCAAAGAGATCGTGCCGCCCCTTTGCGAAGAGCAAGGTGCGGGTGGATAGGTCACCCGCAGCGCATGGATGTGGTGTTCACCCACTGTGTTCTGCCATTTCGGGATTGACATCCTTCCGCTCCAATAGCATCTCCGGAATTCTCTCATGCCCGTTCTCAGTAGCCCGTCAAATGGGGTTCGGCCACTCCTATCCGCCTCGTCGGGATTGACATCGTTCTGCTCCAATAGCGCCTTCCCAATTCCCTCACACCCCAACCCAGCGGCCCATCAAAATGGTTTTCGACCATCACCATCTATCATATTCGGATTGAGATTGTTCAACTCTAATAGCATCTTCACAATTCCCTCCTGCCTGTTCCCGGCAGCCCATGAAAATGGCGTGTCACCATCCGCCTCCCAGTGTCAGGATTCAAACCAGTGCGCCCCAAGAACACCTTGACGGCTCCCTCATGCCCCTTCCGGGCAGCCCAAAATAATGCTGTCTGGCCACTCAGATTTGCCACATTGGGATTGATACTCTCGGCTTCCAGCAGCTGCTTAACTATACAATCGTGTCCATTCCAGGAGGTCCAATCCAATGCCGTGTTACCATGGAGGTCAGTGGCGTTTAGATCCCATTTCTTAATCTCAAGTGAGGAAGCCATTATCTCCGCAACACCGAGGAGGGCCCCACTATGCAATCCGCCCAATCTAGTCGGCCTGTCTTCACCATCGAGGGGACAAGGGCACAGGTAGTCATCCGAATCTTCCGCCAATAAAAGTATGGTGCCAATCACTTAAAACGTACACCATGCTCCATGCAACATGTAACACTCAACCCTCTAAGAAACTAGCACCTTACCCTAGACCCAGTATCTTTAGAAGAATGTTAACTTTCATTCATAACAACTTCGAATATTTAATAACCTGTTAATTCCAAAGCCCATTAAGTATATACATCTACTCGATACCTATATAGTGAAAATCTTGTACACAAAATCTCTGCCCCCCATCAGTGGATCTGTGCTAGGTAGCTAGGCTTTAGACGAGGAGTCGGAATAAATCTAGTTTGAAAGATTGATATGTGACTGAGGAGTCATGAAATTAATGCCATGAGATATACAAAGGTAGTTACAATTAAGAGTTAATATTTTTCTGAAGATACTGATCTTGCTTTCTTCTAGGTCGTAATTCTTTCAAAAGTGGCAACATATACACCCCCTGCATCTTGACTACACGATAGCTGTTTTAACCTTTGCTTCCTCCGGCGGATCGTTGTCTCCCTGAGGATTGACCACGACCAGTCCTCATGTCACAGTTGGCCTGGCATGTGCTCACTAAGTCAATTCTTACTATTTTCTAAGCTGGTAAAAGTTTCGAGCCCAGCTTGCATTCTGGATCACTAGCCAATTATAAGTAAGTAATCAGGACTGAAATGACTCTACAAGTAGAGCCCACCGTCGCCGTAAGTTGGCATTCAGAATACTGCAATAGCATATCTGCATCCCGTATCATGATGGCGACAGAAATCACCCAATGCAGGGTTGCCGCGGCACTCGCACAGGTGATCACAGGCACTCAAAGAAGCTGGTGTCCCAGATTGAAAAATTGGGCTGGAAAGTCTCACCCACTTAAGGGGGATACCACAAAAACTCGTTAAATACAACATCTGAGATCTCGACCAAAATCACTATCTGAACAGCAGTGGGCTCAGCGAAGTAGGTTAGCGGGATTAAGAATATCAGTTCTTGAGGTCTAGGGGACTCACTCCTCCAGCTGTAACGGTACTCCGTCTAGATAACATTATTCCGTGCTGGGGTGTCTTGTCTCTGACCTTGCCGGGATACTCACAGATGAGCGATGGTGGATTTAACGAGTCTACAATATGGTAGGCAGTGTTCCCAACGGGTCGGGTAGGCCAGGCTGAACCGAAGCCGGGCCTGGCCTGCCACAACTATGGGGGATTTAGCCCGGCCGGAGCCTGGGCCTGGCCTGGCCGGGCCCAGCTATGGGCCGTATAGGCTGGGTACCTGCCACCTGATGGGCCGGCCCAGCCTGTGAATACGGGCCTGCAACCCCCTCAGATCCTTGATTTCCATTCGGCTCATCTCCCATTCCACTAAACTAGTCATAGTGGGCACATTCACTGATGGATTCCTGCCAAAGAAACTGAATCGGAAGGAAGGATTGTGAGATAGGACTGCATTGGAGAATCTGGAGGTAGATTTCCTGGACTTCTTTGAGCTGGTTGTGGATCGGTAATCGCATAGTTATCACACTTCAACCAGCAACTGAGGATAGAGATAAAATAATAAACCACAATGAAAGTTGTAAGGAATCGAGCCACTCTTAAAAAAATCAGCTCTAAAAATCCCACTTGCAGGCCTATAGGCTCCTACCAGGCCTGATAGGCTTCGGCAGGCCGGTTGAGTTCGGCCTATATCCGCCTAGGCTCATCATCAGAGCGGCCTGCCTTGGCCCAGCCTACGGCCTATAAGCCGGCCTATCACTGGCCTAGCCCGTTGGGAACACTGATGGTAGGTGACAGCATTGTTGTAGGTGCAACCGGTAAACGTCACCTGCGAACAAGAGTGATCCTCGTCCATAAAAATAACGAACAAACTCTGAGAGTGCTACAAACAGAAACTAGAATACCGAGACAGAAACCAAGAGCCACCAATGCCCCCCCCCCCCCCGCCCCCCCCAGACCAGGCTCAATCATGAAGAAGCCGCAATTTCCCACAAACACAAACCAGAACACCACCAAGACGAAAACGAAGAGCCATCAATGCCCCCCCCACCCCCGCTCACCAGGTCCCAACACGCTTCTTCCCATACCTCCCAACCAACGCCGCTCATCTCACACAAATTCGTACCTAGAAATACAATGCTATTAGCTTCAGTCTGCAACTTGAAATCTGAAAGACCAACCTTTAGAGCCCGCTGGACATTGCCTTTATGTGGCGAATAACTTCCCGAAGCTTTTCTTCCCCCTCCGCGGTCATAATATCCAGATTCCAGCGGTGTACTGGTGCTGTATCAATGACAAATTTGGGATCCCCTTCAATGGCATTTGGATCTAACCGGCGGCTCACCCTATCGAGCTGGTAGATACAAATTTTAGTTCCCATCGCACTCACTCCGGACAAGGTCTAGATTTCGACGTCCTCGAAAAGACGCTCGAATCGTTCCCGCATTTGTAAGTCTGCTTCACGGCGACTAGAGATATCGCGAAGACTTTCAGAAGATTTAACCCCAACAAAAAACACAGGATGGTGTTTGTGCTTAACAAGAAAGATGGTAGTGAAGTCCACCGATGTCAACTGAGTTGGACGTTTGTACTGCAGCACCACAATGTACTCCTCTTGGATTGGAAACAAGTAGGTGAGAAGGACATTATAGGGGCCGTAAAAGGTTGACTCATCCCGTTCGCCGGAATTGCACGGAAATCGACTGAAGTCTGATAAACTCTTTTGCAAGAGCACTCCACTCCACA